CCCCTCCCCCATGGGGGTCAGCCGGGACTGCGGGCACGAGGAGACGGCGCAGGTGATCGCGTCCTACGGCAGCGCCATCACGCACATCCGGCAGCCGGACCTGAGCACCATCGCCGTGCCGCCCGACCACCGCAAGTTCCAGGGCTACTACAAGATCGCTCGGCACTACCGCTGGGCCCTGGGCCAGATCTTCCGCAGCTTCAGGTTCCCAGCGGTCGTCGTGGTGGAGGACGACCTGGAGGTGGCCCCCGACTTCTTCGAGTACTTCCAGGCCACCTACCCACTGCTCAGGGCCGACCCCTCGCTCTGGTGCGTGTCTGCCTGGAATGACAACGGCAAGGAGCAGATGGTGGACGCCAGCCGGCCCGAGCTGCTCTACCGCACGGACTTCTTCCCTGGCCTCGGCTGGCTGCTCCTGTCCGAGCTCTGGGACGAGCTGGAGCCCAAGTGGCCCAAGGCTTTCTGGGACGACTGGATGCGCCGGCCTGAGCAGCGGAAAGGGAGGGCCTGCGTGCGCCCCGAAATCTCAAGAACGATGACCTTTGGCCGCAAGGGTGTGAGCCACGGGCAGTTCTTCGACCAGCACCTCAAGTTCATCAAGCTGAACCAGCAGTTTGTGCCCTTCACCCAGCTGGACCTGTCCTACCTGCAGCAGGGGGCTTACGACCGGGACTTCCTGGCCCGCGTCTATGGTGCGCCCCAGCTGCAGGTGGAGAAAGTGAGGGCCGGCGACCGCAAGGAGCTGGGGGAGGTACGTGTGCAGTACACGGGCAGAGACAGCTTCAAGGCCTTTGCCAAGGCCCTGGGTGTCATGGATGACCTCAAGTCGGGCGTCCCCAGGGCTGGCTATCGGGGCATCGTCACCTTCCAGTTCCGGGGCCGCCGTGTTCACCTGGCCCCCCCGCAGACCTGGGACGGCTACGACCCGAGCTGGAACTAGCTGCACCTCCTGTCCCTTTTGGGCCCCTCCCTTGCCATGTTGTGAGCGGAGATGGGGCCTCAGTCCCTGGGCCGCATGGTCCCGTCTCTGTTTCCCTCTTTGGTCCACTTAATCTTTTTTAATTTTTTTCTCTTTTTTTTTCTAGTGGCATTCGAGTGCACAGATAAGGTGAGGGTATCCTCCCAGCTCAGTGGAGTCAGATCAGGGACCATCCCGGCGTATTAGGGGGATAGCAAGGGACCCCTGTGTGGTACGGGCACTTGGGCCTGCTGGGCCAGAAGTGTCCCCCTGGGCTCTGCAGTGAGGTTGGGGACTTGTGCTCTCTTGGCTGGGCCTCTTCTCCCAGGCCTGGCGCTGGGCCCCCTCCGCCTCCCCGCGGTGGGGGACTGAGGTGTGGGAGAAGGGGGCGTAGTTGTGGCCGAAGTGAGACTAACCAAAGGGGTTCCACCACCAGGGTTGGGGCTGCTGCCTCTGCCCCCCTGTCCTGTCTGCCCTCTCCGCCCGCCCCTGCAGCCTAGCGGTCTGTGATTCTGAGATGAAAGCGGAGGGGAAGCCAAGGCATCCTCAGCTCCCCTCAGAGACGCGGTCCCTGCTGTGGGGGGCTTGGAGCCGGCGGGGCACACAGGGTAGCCAGCCCTGGTGTCCCCTCCTGGGGCCGGTGTGCAGGCTCCCTCCTGAGGAGGGCGCACCTGGTGGCCTTGTTAGCGCGAGGTGGAGCAGCCTCCCCTCCCCCAGCAGTGCCAGGTCCTCACAGGCCAGGACACAGGTGGCAGGTCGGCAAGGGACTCACGTGGTTTTATTTCTTGCCTGGCCTCAGTTTCATGGAAGAAGGGGAAAGTTACAAAGTTATTTTCAAAAATAAAGGCTGAATTGTCTGAAAAGCCCTTGTGTGTGTGTGTGTGTGGGTGTGAGACCTGGGAGAGGAGGTTAGGGTCTGGGGAAGGAAAACGAGGAAAGAGGGGCCGCAGGCGGTGGTGGTTCGGGAGTCCTGGGCCCAGTGGCCTGAGAAGTGCGCCGTGTGCATGCGTGCCCCGAGATGCAGGGTTGAGGAGCTGCGGGTGGCCATCCCCGTCGGGTGCCTTCTCACTGTGCTTGCTCCTCCCTGGGGAGCACACATGCCCTGGGCCAAAGAAAACCTAAAAACTAAAAACAGAAAGGGGGAGCAGAAGTGAGGAAAGGCTGGGGCTCCCCTGGAAGGAAGGGGTGCAAACCGGCACCCGGGGAGCGCCAGCGGAGGGAGGCCACCGAGAGGGGGAGAGCCCCAGGTGGGCTGAGGACCTGCTTCCT